CAATTGAATTTTACTTACAAAAAATAGTTATAATAAAATTTACTTTTTATTGTTAAAAGTTTCTCGTACTTCATTAGTCAAGTGTCTATTTTTGAACCTGGGTAACCGTTACCAAAATTCAGTTAATAAATCACAGCCTTGCCAAAGTATGAAGGGTAACGGTACAGAGTCTCCTCTTTAAAAGATAGGAAGAATACACTTTTCTTTTTATTGCTTAAGGGGGAACAACTCAGTAAAATTTTCATAAAATAAAACAAAAATTATTACATTTTTTGATAGTTTATCTTTTCAAGATTATCGTCCCAAAATATTGAACTGATTTTCATAAAAATGAAAAAGATACAGTATACTATGTTGAGCGTAATGCATGGTACATTGAAATGATTTGTTTATATTATAAATTTAAATGATTTAAAAATTAATGGTACTTTCAATATAAATAATTGTAATTGCAACTTATTTAGTTGTAATAATTTTTAATAAAGTAGGAAGCAAGATTGAATGGGCTTTGAGAAAAGAGCTCAATATTTGCAGTGTAATGAGGTGTTTTTGTGAAGAGCTACACAATCTGTAAATTTATAGTTTTCTTAAATCAGCACTTTGTCTACAGCATATAGATTTGATTTATACAATGCATAAAAATTTATAAAGAAATAAGGAAAGAATTTGAAGAAAATATCCAAGTTACAATAAAGCCAACTATTTTTATTTATTAAACCTCTTTTGAAACTGATTATTTCAAGGGTTATTGATAGTTTTGAAATAATTAGAAATAAATATAGAGTCAGCAGCCAAATAATATTCACAAAATAAAGATTACCACAGGATTTAGATTGCTAACTCTAAAAAGTACGAGGCATCACATGAGGTTAGATTGACAAGAAAATGGGCTTAACTAGCATTTATGGAGTATTGATGCATTATAGTTAGTAGCAAAATTTCATATACAGTAGGAAACCGATTATCCGGAACGATCGGGACCATCGCTATTCCGGATAACTGATTTTTCCGGTTTTCTGAATCGCTACAAAAAGTCGTTTTTTTAATTGTTAAACCCAACTAAAAAAAAAATATTTGGAAATAATCTTGAAAAAACGAAGTAATACGCTAATGATTATTTCCAAAATGATGCTAGGGTAAACATCTTTCAAAAAAGAAAGAAAAATCCTAAAATCTTATGAGGAAAAAAAAAATTTTTTTTTCAAAAAAATCGCGGGAAAATTTATTAAATTTCGTTCCGGTTTTTTGGTTTTCCGGTTTTCTGATTTCCGGATAACGGGTTCTGTACTGTATTTATATGGGTTATTTATCATAAGAATTTAAACACAATTTTCTTAAAACTATGTTTCTCTTACTTGCTATATCTCAAACTAATACAATTTTTAACCAATTTATTTCAAATTTTGGACACAATGCTCACAATAAATATAGTTTTCATTGTAGGTAAGCATTTTTTAATTGGGTTGATTGGCTTTGCACTTTTTCTAGAGCATTTCCAGAGCATCCATGAAAAACTAACTTATTTTATGTCATTTTTTAATAATTTTTTCACAACATCACCATTTTGTAAAAAAAAAAATATTTTAAAAACCTTTAGCGTAATAAAAACTACAATTATGAAGTCTAAAAAAATCAAAACGGAATAAAATTTGGATGATTTCTTTTTTCAACTTATGAGTACAGTAAGTTAAGGATAATTTAAAAAATAAGTTATTGTATTATAAATTACCATATTGTATATTATTGTATTATGTCATTGTATTATAAAAGCACTAATTTTTTATCTGTAACAAGATAAAGTAAAGATTAAAATGAATTTAATAAGATAATGTATTAAGTTAAGTTTATCACAATCATTGGAAAACTTATTAAAAAGTCCTTTTTTAGTGTTAAATTTTTACTTTTTCTAATGTGTTGTTCCCCCTCAAAATATTAATTTGTGAACATTAAAAAACAGTTTTGTTTTATTTTTTACAAGTTTCTACAAATATATTTTAAGAGAACTCCTTACAGAAAACTTCGCATACACTTCAAAATTAATTTTAAAAACTATTGAAAGCCATAAACAAGGTTCCCACTCAAATTTAGAACAAAAAATTTCCCAACTTTTCCAGGAAAATATCACCAAAATTCCACACTACATTTTTGTAGTACAAAGCAATATTTTATCAGGAATACATTTTGTTTAATTAATAAGCAATAAAACAAATTTTTTGATAGAAAGTATTCAAAATATAAAGTTTTTTTTTTAAGGAAACAAAATTTCATTTATGAAGTTTTAACCAATAGGTTTTGTAATACAAAAATATTTGTAGCAATATTTGTGTAAAAAAAAGCAAAAAAAAAAAAAAAAAAAAAAAAAAAAAATTTACAATCTCAATGTAGCACAGTTTATTAAAAGAGTCACATTCATTTAGTCAGATGGTATGTACCTTGTTGTGATTAAGAAGCAAAATTAATTTATACGAAAGCTGAATTATTAAAAACACAATATAAAAAATATTGTACACAAATTAATGTTAGAATTTTAATGAACCTAAAAACATTTAACTATGTTGCAGCAGAGTTTTTACAAGAAATAATAAAAATAGGTGTTAGACTTATTTACTTATTATGGCCACAGAATTGGTAATTTGTTAATAATCACTGAATTGGTTAAAAATTTTGAAATTGGTTATGTTCCAGGTTCTGACTAAAAATTGCCCTGTTCCCAAATAATTCTCAAGACTTTTTTATAAAATCAAATTCCCTGAAAACTTCAGGCTTTCCAGAATCTAGGGGAACCTTGTATTAACTTTCAAATGACCTAAACCTGTTTTAAATTTAAAAAACAAAATTCTGTCAAGCTAAATAAGAAGTTGAATAAACACTTTATACTTACATTTTTATCTTTTGATATACTATATTCTTCAATGATGGCTTTTGCATCACTAAATTTAATCTTTTCCTTAACTTCCTTCAAAAGCTTCTTTTTACGAGACTGTAACTCGAGAAGTTTTTGAACAATTCTTTTAATTTCATGTTCATAATACCATTTTAGAGAGAGCTTTAAGCTGCAAACTCTATAAAAAAGCATAAAGATCATAACTCTCACAAAAAAATGTTAATTTATTATTGCATAACACTTATAAATTAATGTAAGAATGTAACACAAAATGTTTAGATTAAAAATGATATCAAAAGCACATTCAAATAAATATAAGCAAAATTCTCATTTACATATGAAATATTAAAAGAAAGTTAAAACCAAAGCAAATTGCAGTAAAAATCAAGCCGTATTTAACATTTGTTCTTTAAAATTAAAGCAATAAAATCAATATTTTACAAAATTGAGAAATTGTTATTTTTCTCATTTCTTGCCAATCTCACGCCTGTACACGATAGTCACTAGAATAGTATCCCCTGCTGGTGTGAATGTGTTTTATAAAAACCTTTGCTTTAATTACATGAATGAATGATACATACTACTTTACACATATTTTAGAAATGAAACAATTCCTTAAGCAATGTTAAAAAAAAAACACGAAAATTCATGTGAATAATGGATTGCAAAAATACCAAGGTAAGATATTAAAATCAATCTTCATTCTTTTAATTGATTGATTAAAGGTATTTCATAACCATTGATCTTAATATTTATTTATTTAATCCTCATCAGCTCAAAATCTGAATTATTAACATGGAAGACAAGAATAAAAACATCAAAAACTGTTTGACTATTGAAAGGAAATTGAGAAGAAGCACTTACTAAAAATACCTTCCAGTTTTATCTGGGAAATCAAATAAGCACATTAACAATAACTTACGATCTTTAATATGAGTACATTTTTTAATTTATCAAATTTCATCATCAAATCACAATCAACATCATCAAATTTGGTGATTGACAGAAGTATGATTGAATATTTAAAAAAAAATGTACAATACTTAACTATTTTGGTAAATAAATAAAGATTCTTCTTACTGCATTTGACACACTTTTTGACATAGGTTACTGATTTGCATGTGACTCATTAATTAAACAGCATTAAAGCAACTTCTTAGCATTTACATGCTATAATTTCTTTTTGAAACAAAAATTTTGAAAATCCCAATTTCCAACTTTCAGCCATGTCAAATTCTCATGACCACTGATACAACTACCAAAAATAATGTTTTATTTACCTGAGAAGAAATTTTCAATAAATAAAGTCACATGAATATTCACCAATTTAGCTATGAACATGTATGTGGTATTTTATCAACCATTAAGTTTGAGGTCACTCTATACACCTCATTTCTCTTTAATTTAATAAATGTATTACACTATTAATTATGCCATATTAGGACAAAACTTATGGAACATATAATAACTACAGGGTATCTCCTACATTTTAGATTTTCAAATTCATGATTTTCCATGATTAATTCCAAGAATTTTTCATGACTTAATGAAGCTACTTCGATAAAAAACAACAATAAATTTAAAGGAAGCAACATTAATTCATATGACAGGTATTACCAAAACTGTTATACTCTGCATCTTCATATTTATAGATTTTAAATTTAAAAAACAGAGTAAAGAAAGAGTTGAATCAATAAAATAAGTGAAAAAATAAAAAAGTAAAATTTTTTTTTCTTCTTTTTTCGGCAGAATTATATTCTAAAGATACATTTCTTGCTCATTGGAAAGGAATTATATACTCCTGATATTTCTGTTCTCATTTCGGAATAAAAAAAATTTGCCAATGACTGGCTTGCTCCAGCTAGAATTTTAAATTGATAAAATAAAAAAAATAAATAATAACAAAAATTATGAAATCACAGAAGTTTAAAAGATAATTCGCTTTAGAAATGATGTTTTTTCTCTGATGTTTTTTGTTTTTCTGAAAGAACAGCATAATTTTTAAAGAACAAGAAAAAAAACATTTTATATTTAATAAAATATGACTGTGAGTGGGGATTTTATTACCAATTCAGATATTTGAAATACAATTAAATTGTGGGGGAGGTAAATTCCACTTTAAAAATTAGATTTTTCGTCAACCAAAATCCATGACTTTCCATGATTTCATTTTTAAAAACAATAAAAATCATGACATTTCATGACAAATTTTGTTCAATACTGAAATTCATGACTTTCAGGTGCACAGATACCCTGTAACTATAAAATTTGTATGATTTCTAATGACTAAGAATTACCTTCAAGGAGCACATCTAAAATAGAAATGAGCTTCAAAAACTTTTTAATCAAATTGCAAATAGCAATAAAGAAAAAAAATTTAAAACAATTTTCTCTAGATACTTACAAAAGATATATCACTAATAATGGTCCACAAAATAAAATATACTCAAGAAATGTAGATGGCATTGTCGAGAAGAAAAATATTAGGGACATCAATACAAATAGCAATCTAGAATAAGATAGAATAACTTGTTTTATCAAGTTATACTGGTACTCAAGGGCCCTTTTTTGTTGCTCATTTGCAAAGATTTCCTGTAATAAAAAATAACATAGAATAAGGGAATATAATTTTAAGGTTAAATTTGGATCTAAAGTAAAGAAATATAAAATGTACTGCAAGTATTATAAAAACAATAATTTTTTAAAATACTATCTATTTATAAGCAACATGTAGAAAAACTCAGTAATAGGTACTCAATGATCTTTGCACCAACTGAATTTAAGGTGTACCATACTGATCATCTTCAATATATATTTTAGAAAATAGAATTTTAAAAAAGTATGTGCATTCAAAGGTTACAAATCAATATTTAAGCAAGGAAAAAAAAAAGAGAAAACAAAAAGAATTTTATAAAAATCTGATCAATTACATCTAGTCTAGCACTTAAATATCAGTTTTAAGTGCTAAATGAAATTTGAAGATTTTTCTAACAATTCTTTATCACACTCTTTCAGTTTTGAGTGGCAATAAAATAAGTTGTAATGTTTCTAATAGCTCTATCCTTACTAATGAATTTTTAGGTTATGATGAAATTTTTGTTTTTTCCTCATGTCAACACTAGGTAATTTGTAACCTTCAATTAATGTGAGTACATATATATATATATATATATATATCACAAAAAAGGATAAAAAGAAAAGAGAATGAAGAAAAATAATAATAAGTTTTATTAACTATGCATAAGCTGCAAGTATATAGAACTCATAAAATAAGTTAAAAATATGGAGAAAGCAAGTAAAAAATGTAATAAAGATTAATGTAAAGAAAAGAAGAAAAAATTATTAAAATAAAATATTAAAATATTTAAAAAACATTTTATTAAAAAAAAGTTGAAAAATGAAATAATGCAAAGATATAATCTTGTCATCAGCTTACAGGATTATATCCGCAAAAAGAGTGCTTTCCAATATTGTATTATTATACCCAAAGCAAAATTCATAAATACAATAGTGTGAGGAGAACCTTAAAAATTGAAATGAAAATAGAACATATTAAATAAAAAATACACGAAATAAAACAATTCAAGCAATAACAGAAAATAAAATGCAAGAAAATACAGAATAAAATACAAAATATAATCTATAAAGCGAGTAGCCAAATAAAATGAAATAGTATTTAAATGTCTTAAGAAACATTAGAATTCCAAGTAATTAGTTTATTTATATAAAAATCATTTATTTTATCGCATAAATCAACAATGCAGTTATCTTTTTAAATACCTAAATCCAAAAAAAAAAAAAATTTAAATTAATATTATCATCATGATTATGAAGCAAGATTAATTACTCGGGTTATTATAATAAATATTGTTTAACAAAATTGTATAATCTTGAAAATTAAAGATAATCATCCATAAATCTAAAAACAAATTTCATAATTAGAGTATAATTTTTTCATAGCAATGTAAAAATAAGTTAGCTAAGAGAGATGAAAAATTAGATCCTTGTGATATTCTATGAATTTGAAAAAAAAAATATTTTCCATTGTAAAGATAATTATTGAAAAGACAAATATTATTTAGAATTTCTCAATAATCAAAATCGTACTTAAGGTTATATTTATAATTATAGTAATAACTCATAATATTTAATTTTAAAATGATTTTTGTTCTTCTCCTTTTATTAATCTTTATTATAATTTATTTCCCTGTTTTCTCCATATTTTTAACTTATATATTCCTGTTTTCTCCATATCTTAAGTTATATATATTTATACACACTATAATTTTGATTCGACAAGGATTCTAAAAATATACATTAAAGAATAAAAGATAATGATTATGGAGAGCCCCGGATATAGAATAAAAATTTCCCTCCATATACTTTTCATTAATTCAGAACAGAAAAATTTCATTTCCTAAATTTTTGCATTAACTAGAAAAAATTTTGTTTGGCGTCAGCTTATCTGGGAAGTAAGGGCGGCTTGTGCGTAATGCTGATCACATAGCTACAATCATGCTGTTGGTCATGAAATTGGGGAGCGTTAATCTCCATTAACGGACCATCAATGCAATAATGCATGTAAAAAATTACATGAAATTTAAATAAAAAAGCTAATAATATTTGAGAATTTAGTAATAATAATTTGTGATCTTACCTTATTGATTTCATCCAGTTCTTTCTTATAGACATCAGGACTCTAAAATTAAAGTTGTAGCAGTTTGAATAAGTTAACCAAAACTAATATCAATCAATTAAATAAAACAGAACACCTAAACAACTTTTGATCTAATGATCAGATTATCACATAAACCAGGGATGGGCAAACTTTTTTGATCGCGGGCCAAAAATTGAGAGAGAAAATTGTTTGGTGGGCCAAGTAAAAACTTCAAAATTTAAAAAAAAAAAAAAANAAAAAAAAAAAAAAAAAAAAAAAAAAAAAAAAATGATGTACAAGTTTTAATTTAAATATTTAACGAGATGAATGAAATTGCGATTTCATTTTTAAAAGTTCCTTATATTGAGGATCGATGTGAGATATGCTTATTTTAAGGAACGAGGCTAAATGCTTGTCTGTTAATCTACTTCTGAAATAATTTGTCCTGAAATAATTGTTTCATAATTGAAAACTCTTGTTAACATAAGATTAAGCAAACATAGCACTGATTTTTTAGGCATGAAATATTAAATTTTGGAAACTAGCTTTTGGTAATAATTTGCAAAATTCAAACTTTGACTATTTAGAAACAACTGCTTCAGATGATTGTTAGAATGTCCGCTCGTTGGAGCTTAAAATGCGCAGTCTGCCACATGTGAAGTACAATTCACCTATATTAGATTCCATAAGTCTGCTCCTCGAGAAAGACAAACGCTAGTTGGAGCCCAATCTACGGCTATTCTATAAAGAACTTCCGCTTTCAACATTTTACCAATTGAAGCTGTCTGTGCTAACTATTTCCACCAATTTATGTTTTGTAGAACAAAAATAGAGAAAGTAAAAAGGTCATCAGTACTTAGTTAAAAAAGAAAGAACAGAAATAGCTTTAAACAAAGTCGACAAGAAAATGGATGTATATTGTCAATATTTGCCACGGATCGGCAAGTTAAAATTCTATCCGCGGGCCGGATAAAACCTTCCGGCGGGCCACATTTGGCCCGCGGGCCGTAGTTTCCCCATCCCTGACATAAACTATAAATATAATTTTCATGGTTCCAACATCCAACTTTAAATATGTTATGCAACTAGTACAGATGATATTCACGTAACGAAAACTTTCTTTAAAAGTTAAAATCTTTTTATAAAGATTGAAAGACCAAGCACGATAGAGCTTTCGCAATTGTCCCCATGTAAAATCATGAGTGATATAAACTGTCATAATTTAATGTATATTTTAAGTATTGACGATTGAAATACGCTATAGGTGGTGCGTAACAAAACTCTTTATCTACGACAACACTTTGAATGTTTTAACATTAGAGGGTGAATAGTTATAGGAGTAAGAAGTATGCTTTATGTCATGATGTCTAAACTGATTAAAAGTTATCAAGTTTATAATCAGAGTTCGAAAAGTATTATGAAAGGTAATAACATTTGAGTACATGATCATATTTCTGAACAGAGAAGGAGAGGGAAGATTCCAGACATAGAACCGGAGTTCTCCCTAAATGGCATATTCAAGTATTGTAATCACAAATAAACTTTACAAAATTATTTATTTTCAGAAAAGAATAATTATTACACATTTTTTTCTACAAATCCCAATTATTTTTCATAATGTATCATTACATATCCAGAAAAGAATTATATATTGAAAGCAAATAAAGATCATCATACACAGATAAACTATTAAAATTAAAAAAAAATTCAAACTTTGAAGTTATATATAAATGTATATAAAAAAAAGAGCACGTAAATTTAAACATTCAAAAATTGTGATGGAAATAATAAATGTAATAATAATCACTTAAAAGTTTACAGCGACGAAAAAAACAAAACAAAAACATTTTGTTTTATAGTGTTTACAAATAAAATCCATAATTTTACAAGAATAAAAGATACATCAATAAATATCAGAAAGCGTCATTAAAATTTTTTATTTCCTCACGGAAATTTTTATTTTATTACATGGATAGTCAAAAAATTAATATATTTATCTATTTCAATGGGAAATACGTTATATGTATTATAAGTAATATTTGGAATTTGCTTATAATACATATAACGTATTTTGAATATAAATTACCTTTGAGAAACTAAATATTGAGCGGAGTTTATGGATTACAGAGCCCATATGCTTTTGAAAAGATTCATATTAAATGTTGATATAATTATGAATGTTTTAAAGTAGGAAATTTTACTTTCCTCATCAAAAAGAGGAAACAGTAACAAATAAATTAGTTTATTAGTTTTGTTTTTGTTTTGACAGGTACAGGACCTGTTGCCAAAAGAAGAAGTATAAAAAAAGTTTAGTTGCATGATAAGTTTTCATGATTATATTATAACATATAGAGAGCGCTGCAATAAGAAACGTGCTGACTGAGAGAACATTTACAATGCATGCAAAAAAAATCGCTGATGCAAATTCTACGATAGGCGTTGTGTGAACAGGCTTAATATTCTAAAAAGTTTTATTATTGTGATTTGTGTTTAAATTTACGAATAATTTTACTGTTCACAAGAATTTTCTGAAATTTATAAATTCTAATAGAAAGTGAGATTGAAACAAAATTAAGTAAATTAATATCCCGACATTAAAAAAAGTGTAAGGTTTGCCTTGCTTAGCGTGTTATCTCTTATTCAAGTAATCAATTGGTTATATTTGTTTATAATAACACCGTTTGTTAATTTTGGGATCGTATCATAGCGTGCTTGCGGAATCTTCCTAACTTTAAAGTTCCACTAGATTCTAATCCTTTAAACAAGCTGAAAACTGGTGTACTAACTCTCCGAACTTTATGTTGAAACACAAAATAGAGCGAAGGACACCAAATCTAGCTTTCATACAAAATTTTTAAACTGTGTAAATCTAAAAGGGGAAAACTTTGGGTTGCGGTTCTGTTAAATATGTTCGAAACTTTACATTTCTTTCACAACGCCTTTGCTTGGTTTGCAAGTAATTATATTTAAGGAATTACTATTTATATGGATTCTAACTTTGATGTTTTCACAAATTAGATTGTCTCGTAAAGTAACTTTGTTGAATCTTATGTGCACTTATCTTTCTGTAATTATAAATATTTGTTCTACTGAGTACCAAAAATGGTGGCAGAAACTTTACGCGAATTAGTTCATAGAACACTCTTGGTGTTTCACAATGGTTGGAACTGTCCTTGGTTCTTCAAAACTTGTTTTAAAAAATTAAATCAATTTCAGAAAAGGTTACTGATAGAAACTAGCTAAATTGCCAAAAAAAAAAAAAAAAAAAAAAAAAAAAAAAAAAANAAAAAAAAAAAAAAAAAAAAAAAAAAAAAAAAAAAAAAATTTAAAAGTGCATATGATAATACGAGGAAGAGAGCTTTTGAATCTAATGCTTCGGAATCTTGTATTCAAGAGTCTAGGTCTATCCCTCTCGGAGCAAAGGGCCACTACTGACTCTGCTCTCTTTTTCCGCAAATCAACATTTCAAGTCTTCAAAGCAGCTGATTTCGCATGTAGTTGGTTTTGGGCAGCGACTATTATTGCGCCCCGCAATATAAAATATTTAGTAGTTCTATTGGTGATATAAAAACCTACCACTAAATGAAATTTTATTGAAATTTTAAGTTCTGATGGTTAATGGTAAATTCTTAATTTACACGAGAATACTGCGTGCAAATGAAAAAACAACATTCTGTAGATTTCGTGAAAATTGTCTTGACAACTGTTTTCTAATGCTGTGAATGCTAAAATAGTATTTCAAAAACTGATAAAACAAAATTTTAATCTTGAAGAGAATCTTATGCAATATAAGTTGGTTACCATACCGAAATGCCAAATGTATAAATCTAAATTTTGAATTTTTTATAGCTTACGTTGATTTTTCTTTTTCACGGCAGAAGTCTTATACGCACTACAGTTATTTAATTCGACATGCATACACGCCAAATACTTTAACTTTTACAAAATCTTTATGACTTTTACGCATTGTTCTTACAAATGTGGAATCAGATATCAGTCTTAAATGAAAATATTTCTCTACAAGAGCCTATAGCCTTGTTTTGAAACTTTATTCTCAATAAACAAGGCAATCAATATCTTAAAATACCACCCGCAATATTGTTTTTAATTGAAAAGTTAAAGTACGAAGTTTAGAGTTCAAATACTAATCATAATCCTTATTTTATTGAATTTCGGTTTTTCTATCGTACAACTTTTACATTTTTATAGACGCTATGGTGTGTTAAAAAATCAATATTTTAATGTGCTGTCAACTTTCAAAAACCTTTAAAAGAAACATGATTCCTTATTTGGTTGAGAGTCTTAAAACTTAAATGGATTTTTCTTGTACTTATGGCAAAACTTCCCCATGCTGGTTTTGCATCCCAAACACCAGTTATTTAGCAATCATTTTTAAGTATTAACAAGAGAACTTCAATTAATAAAAATTAAAAGAGCAAAGGCCTTAAATGTATCCGCTGATTTAGTTCCTGATTCTGTTTGGGATAGAACTTAAATCAATTTTTAGCTCGGTTACTATTGCAACAATGCATATTTTTTTAAATTCCTGTTAAATTTTCGGGTAGATTATTTAGTACTCTATGGCTTAATGATAATCCCAAATGACTCACTTTTGTCATTATTTTAACAGCATGTTTTGAAAGTTTTAAGTAACTTACTAAAAAGTAAATAACGTAAATTTCTGTTTAATAATTGTAAAACTGATATTTAAGTATAGTTATAAATATTTATAAAATATTTCGAAGTATGTTAATATAAAATTACTTCATAATAAAGGAACATAACTTTAACAAAGTGTTTAAGCGAACACAATTTCAAAACATTAAGAAAGGATTATGCATATATTGTTACAGAATAAACAAGGAATTTACTGATAATAAATAATTTTTGTAATGACAACTAAAGAAATCTGAATCCTAAGAAACCACAGAAAGTGATTTTCTGGCAAATAGGAATAAGCAGACAATGAGACTTTTTTAAACTATTATGCTATGAAGAGCAACTTATGTGGATTAAAAAAATGGTTAGGTTTCTCTAATTTTAAGGTCTGTTTAATTTATCGTTTAAAAGTTTTGAAAGCTGAAAAATTTCCATGAAACTTTTTAAAAGATTTTCTGTGGTGTTTAAGGAAAACTTTAAATCTTATTCAATGGTAAAGTTTATAAAATTCCTCTCCAATGCTAGGCAATTGAACGAGTTTGATCCCCCTCCTGGTTGCTAAACAACGAAATCTTCAAACGAAAATTCCCTTGCTAGTTTTTTTTCGTGCAATGCAAAATGAATCTTAAATGTAAAAACTGCTTGATAAAACATTCTGTGAACAGCTTAATTTTTCTCTCTATTCCAACGAAAAAAGTTTAATTTAGTGCGCTGGTGGTGGGAAATCCGTATAATGCTTACCATAACATTTCAGACTGAAAATTTCTTTTTTTAAATATCACCATGAATGCATTTATTCACTAATGTAAGTGGTTTGTGGCATAGTAATTATAGTTAATATTTAATAACAGCCTGGTTATTGCTAAACGGAGGACTGAATTTCACAGTATGGAAGGTACTAGCAGCAACATTTTCTTGATTAACAAACGTAACCAGAAATAAATTCTGGCTTCAAGGACATTGCAGAAAGGTGTGTGTTAGCTATATTTCTGTGAAATATTTGTTTAGTAAAGTTCTTTAGGCGCAAACTCTATTTCTGAATTATTGGTCAAGATTACTATTGTCAATTATTGTGAGTCTTTTTTATAGAAGAGCTTTTAAAAGAAATACCTATCCTTTAACTCAGGAAAATGATTAGCCCGATGAACTCTGATAATAATTATTATGAATATTTGATGAACTCTGGCTTAGTTTAGTAATTATACTTTCTTTGAAAAATTAAGATCTGTTAGAGTAATTTAAGTATATACGCCCCATAAAACTCATATCTATTGGAAACGCGATATAGTGACATTGCTTTACAACACAGGTAAACGTGTGTGAAATGAAAAATTACAAAACCACTCGATAGGGCCGGGATAGCCTGGTTGGTAGGGCACTGGACCCATGTCCAAGAGATCGTGGGTTCGATCCCTGCCTGGCGAAGACTCTCCGTATAGTAAATGGTGACTGATGCACGTTGAATCTGTCAAGTCACAAAGCCCTCCGTGTTCCCATAACAAATCAATACCTCTGGGGGTACTGATAAAGGAGTTTCCTTGTCTTCTGAATTGGTTCAAAATTACAAGGCTACGGAGTTGAACATTGGCAGTTGTAAACCCAAAAATTGAGTCAGCTGTTCAACAACTGTTATAAAAAAAAGAATAAAAAAGCACTTGACAAGCGTAGAGGTCGAATTGGTAGAGGTAGATGGCCGTTCTGCTCCCTCTTCGAGCTCTACACTCGTTTGTGCTATAAAAGTTAATAATAACAAATTTCTACCGTGCTTTTTGAGAAAAAAAGTCTAAAGTTCGAGAAATTTAACAGTATTTGCATTTAATAGTTTTCTAAATGTTTAATTTTGCGAGGTAGTCTTTCTTATATAAACAAAAGAAAATTTTTTAAACTTAATAAACAAATCTCTTACACGAATCTTCATACGTCCAAATTTAATGTTTTAATGCATGGAAAATTTACCTTCAAAGGCAAATGCGTGTTATAAAGTACAATTTACCAGTATTTTAAAATTTCTTATTAACTTTAAACTGAAATTTAGTATTAAAAGTAACGAAATTGCAGAAATCTTTGCTTACCTAAAGCTAAAATGTTTATTTTAAACATCTTGTATCGACTAGATTAACAAGACTGAAACTAGATTAACAAGACTGAAACTGGATTTTGAAATTGAAGAATACTAACACAGTATGTACTTAATAACAAATGTATCGTATTTCTTTATATTGCAATAGAGCTTGAAATTCAATTTTTAATGTTGATGTCAACGTTATTACATTGATGTATTTGGATTGTAATGACCCTTGAATATTCAATAGTTTAAAGCTTTCTCGTGTACGCAATTCGCCACTAAAAATGAATACAGGCTTATCCTTCTAGTTTATTTAGTAGTAAACCATAGATCGCCGAGCAAGTTTAAAATCTTTTTTTTTTTTTAAATTGTCTAAGGTTCTAAATTTAAATGAGTTGTCGAAATATGAGAATTTAAAATTTTCAAAATTTATTGATCAGCTCTTTGTCTTAAATCTTAAAATGCCCCGCAGTGGACTGATCGCTAAGACACGGTTCCCAGCAGATCACCGAAGTCAAGCATCACTGATTACGGTCAGTGTGCGGGTGGGTGA